TTTACGTGTAGTTAGTTAGTTATTGGAGAATGTGCGTTTCCCCATGCACTTAGACCTGTCTTGGTCCATTGTGCTTCCCTCTATGATATTCTACCAGTCTCTATATTCTACCGGTACTGGTGCTTACCATCAGACCTGCCCAGCCAGCGAGATCGGTCTCTACTAGCTGAGCGGTATCTGTAATGCTTCCCCCATCTACCAGAGGCGTTAGAAATTACTGTTGGGCGGGAAACGTCCGTAGTTTTGCTCAGTGGCCTCCTTTGGAGACATGAGGTTCTTTTACGTGCCGTAAAGCTACGACACGGGACCCACGGCTTAAAGTCCTTCCCGGAGGACTTGTTCCCTGAATTTTTCCGCCCTTTAAAATTCGACGACCTCCGCCGGGTATTTGAACCCGCGTACTACGAGTCATGAGGTGGGAACGTTACCTCTAGACTACGGAGGCCGCTATGTTTACGTATATCTTACAGAAAATATTCCCACATGAATATATATAGAGCAGTCTGTATAGCGACGGGCTGGACGGCCGAGAGGTCGGAGTTCGAGTCCCGGTGCTGGCAAGATATTTCTCCCCTTCACGTCGTCCAGACCGGCTCTGGGGCCCACCCAGCCTCCTATCCGGGCGGGGTGGCCTAGGTGTCAAGCTGGCCACTCACCTCCAGCTAGTGCCGAGGTCAAGAAAACGTGGTTCTATACATAAATTCCTCCATACGCCTTCATGGCGCAATGCTTAATTAATTAAGCACAGGAACAATTTTACCTTACATTATATTCAGTGGCTGCGCGGTTTAAAGGACAAAATATCTTCGAACGCCGGGATCGTGGGTTTGAATCCAACTAAAGACATGGATGTTTGTGTTGGTAGCGGCCTTGCGACAGGCTAATTCCTCATCCAAGGGGTCCTACCGACTGTCTAAGATCAAGAAACTGAAGTGAAACAAAGCGTTTCGCGGATGCCCTGTGCTCCAAGTGTGAGCGACAGGAATATGTATATGTAAGTAATAAGGACGGATAGGAACGGAAGCGACGGACGAATTTCTGACGCCCTTGAGTGCAGTACTCAGCGACGCCACAGTAAAAACACTTCACGCAGGTGGAAATGGACCTTGTGGATGATGTCTCTTTTTCAGTACTTCTAGAAGAGATGTATAGACTGGAATGTGACGTAATGTTGTTGCCATCTCACTGAGCCTCCCACGCAGTGGGTTCCCGGGGCTCTTTCCCCGGGATATAACGACCTGCGCATGAAGATGAAAACTCACCTTCGTATTTCGTCAAGCTCAGTGGGGCCATACATCCACTCCCCCTCAGTAATTCTCCATATCGTGGTGGTTAATTGATTAAGCATAGGAACAACTTTACATTATCATTTTTTTTCCTTGGCACTACAGCCCCAGTGAGCCTAGGCCTACCTCCATGAACTTCTCCGTTCACATCGGTTTTTCTAGATCTCACACATTCGGTAGGACTCCTTGATCAGCTCGTCGCAAGGCCTCTACCTGTACACAAACACAGAAAAACGCACACACACAAACTAAACATCCATGCCCTGAGTGGGATTCGAACCCACGATCCCGGTTTCCAAGCGAGCGAAGACA